GAGCTCAAGTTATAATATTTACTATTATATTATATTCCTAACAACAAACAGGAAATTAATATTACGAATTAACATTCATATTCTTAATCTTATACAAAGTCTATTCTTATTTACCTTCGATATCGACTTTCTTGGTCTCTTGGTCGATATATTCGTAAATGATTTCATATCGTCCGGAATGTTCTAAAACAGATTACATACCATTTATAATGATATGTGCAATAAATTTGATAATTTACACAAGTTTTTTTTTTAAAATCCTATCTCTTATTCATTTCATGTGGTTTTGATAGGGGTATATTTTTATACATATATATATATATATATAGAAAGATAACGGTTAGTAAGTAATATACTTAGTAATATGTATAATATATACAACGATATTCAATTTAGTTAAACATAATGTAATTTAATTCGTTTATCGAGAACAGTATGGACAATTCAAATATTCGATTGAAAGATATTTAGGTCTATCGATATTTATATTTAATCTATGTTTATTCAGACCATAAATCTAATATTTTTCTGTACCAAATTTTTTTCATAGCAATTAATTAAGCCATTTAGAAATACAAAATAGGACAAGCAGACAGAAAACCATTTATATATATATAGGTTTATAAAATTAGCTTTAGAAGTCATCGTCCACAGATGGTGAGCTGTACAGTGAACGAAGCAGTCCTGTATGTTTGCATGAGTAATTTTACAGAATAAACAAAACATTATACGTACCAAACTTATTTATTAGGTATTCAAAATTATTATGTTTATGTATTAATTTGTCAAAAATGTTATACACAGAAATAATCTAACATTTTTATAAAAATAATATACTATTATTATTTTATTATAAATCATTGTTTCTCTGCCATAACAGCCATTTAGAAATTACYGTATCTACATTAAATTAATTATTAGAAAATAAGAATAATACAACTACCAACATTAGATCATGTAATGGCCGGCTATTAAAATACTCGAGAATTTTAATTTTTAGATATTATTCAAAAAGTACTTTAAGTTAAACTTTCTATTATAATCTAAAATCAATTGTTACCACGAATGATGGAGATGGAGACACTGGTCTTGTAATCTCTTTYACTATGGACAATTCTGATGGCATAACTATTTCCATGTTGGTTGGTTTGGTCGGTTGGTCGATTTGAATATGCGAGTTTGGTAAATCCTCGTAGAAGGGAGTTTCTAATTTATTTTCTGATCCGCTTCCTAAACGAACGTTATGTTAAAAATATTGTTAATTACTATTGTAGGTAGGTCGATATAATATGTATTATAATATTWCTTTTTATAWATTCYACATTATTGTTGGTGACACCATCGTCCTATTAATAGAAAAGATACTGTCAATATTTAGTT